ATAAACAATTAACATACTAGGTTACTAGGTATGCATACCGAGAATTCTTCTGATAGATGATCTCAAACAAAATACATCCACTCTTGATAACTGATAATATTTACATATGAAGATGGAGGATTAGCTAACAAATCACTATTATCAATGAATGGTAAAATATATTGGGTTGTCATTCTGTTTTTAAAATCTCTGAATACTTTTCTAACCAATTGCAACGTAAACTTTTTATACTCATTTAGGACATCAAACATTTCCTAATAAATTTAAAATAATTAGTATGAACATGTTATTTCAATTAAATTTCTAAATTAACAAATTTTTGGATATTGTTAAATAAACATATCACAATCGATTCTCATATACGATCCTTTTGTTCATCAAGAACCATCCACCAATTATGGAGCGTAATAGAAATACTACTATGGACGACTACTCCAATGTAACTAGCCAACTTGGTAGCTCTATCCAACACAAACTATCCATTTTGATTGAAGTCGATATGAATTTTTACATCAGTCACTTTAATTTATTTACCATGTCCCATTGCTTTTTTTTTTTTTCACTACGGGTGTATCTTCTTCATGTTCAATAGTAGGAGACATATGTTCTTCAAAATCCATAATACCTACAATTTTAAATATAATTATGCAAAATACACCAAACTATCTCTCTAAATATCACACAGTAAAAAACAATCAATATCCACTATAGTTATTAGACTAATATACATAAAATATCCTACAACCAATAATATTTTACGGATACAAGTCATATTGTGATTCCCACCTTAAATAAGAGTTCATGTAAAACAAATGATGAGTACAAATATAACAACTAATATCCACAAAACCGTTTAGCAAACCACAATATTAAAACCAAACAACAAAGAAACACCATGCATGCAATGAAGGAAGGTTAGGTGACGTAGGTGATGGTGGAATATGCATAAAAATACAAAAAAAAAATAAATATTTATAGTAAGGAAAGAAAAAAAATTACTTATATCAAAGAATATAAATAGTACAAAAAGAATAAAATATGCACGTACTGGTCAAAAAGAGGTGCGATAACGTTGAGTGATTGACGGTCAACGTGATTGATGGTTGGCAATGACGAGAAAGATGAAAAAATCAAAAGGCAAATTAAATGGGTTGATGTGTTTAGGGGTTTACATACAATGTAGCTTTTTATCATTCACTATAATAACCGTTTGGTTTCTCAAGGTTCAAGAACAGGGAATGAACCTTTTAAAATGATCATTTAAGGCGTTTTCTATATAGAAACATCTTAAATAATTCTTTTATTTTTTAAAATGGATTATTTAATGTGTTTTTATATGAAAATACCTTAAATAATCATTTTATATTTTTATAAAGAGATTATTTAAAGTATTTCTATACAGAAAACGACAAAAACGTCTTAAATAAACCTTTTATATTTTTGTAAAGAGATAATTTAAGGTATTTTATATACAGAAACGCCTTAAATAATCTTTTTATATTTTTATAAAAATATTATTTAAGATATTTTTGTATGAAAAACATCTTAAATAATCTTTTTATATTTTTATAAAGTGATTATTTAATGCGTTTTTTTATACAAAAACGCTTTAAATAATTCTTTTATTTTGTTTTATAAATGAATCATTTAATAAACATCCTTTAATTTATAAAATGATTATTTAAGACATCTTTATACAAAAAATACTTTAAATAATCTCTTTATAAAAATATAAAAAAGCTCTTATTATAAAAATATAAAAAAAATATTTAAAGTCTTTTTGTACAAAAATAATTTAAATAATTATGTATAAAAAACACCTTAAATAATTCACAAAAATTAATGATGTTGTAGAAATATCTCTGCCTGCAATCAATTCCCACTCAGCTTGGAAGCCGTTCCAGGGCTTATCTTGGTTTCCTTGTTGGCAAATTTCCTGCTAAGCAGATTTCCATCATGGTTTAACCAGTCCTGAACATCCTGCTCGTTACCCCTGGGATAAGTATTTATTCTTTTTGACTTATAACAAATGTTAATGTGAATGTATGTGCTTGTTTGTGTGAAACAAAAAGAGGAAGAAACTTGCATTTGAACCTGCAGCTGTCGAGGCCAGTAGAGAAAGAAGGCACAGGGAGTGAACAATCTCCATTGAAGTTGAATTATTATGCTGATTTTTCAAATCATGGAACTGTTCTTTTATAATAGTATCTTGTCATGGGACCATAGAGGATGAAATATCCTCATCTCTAAATCCTGTAAACAATTTTATCAATTAATTATTTATTACCTTTTTGGATAAATCAATTATTTATTACTTTATTTCATAAAGAAAATGTTAAATTTTTGCTTTTTTATATTAAAAATCTAACAATAACTCAAAATAGAAAAGATATGATCGAAACTTTGATTTTGTGATAAAAATAGTAAAATTGATTCTCCTAATCGTGTTAAAATTATTTTGATCTGTTATCTTTGCACTTAGGTGTAAATGACCGAAATTATTAATAAGTTGTATGGGTTCAATTTAAAAAAATTTTGAGATAAATTTGAGTTGAAATTTGAATTATTCAAATAAAAAATAAAATCAAAATCAAATAGGTTAATATTCAATTTGAAAGGTTTATAAATCTAATCAAGTTTTCTTTAATATATATTAAATATATATATAAATAAATAATAAAAATATTAATATTTAATATTTATATTTATAATTTAATTTAATTTAATTTAATCAATTGGGTCAAATTTAAATAGTTCAATTAAATTATAAATTTAATTTAAACATAAAAAAATAAGCTTAAGTCAAAATTTTAACCTCAAACTTTTAAGTCAAGCCAAATTTGAGCTTAAAAATATATCAACTCAATTCCACTTAATTACTTCCCCAATTTGCACACACCTTCATTTCTCCATTTTTAGTGCAAAACTGATTTTAGTACTCAACTGATTTGCCCAAAAGTTGGTAAGTCTAAACTTTAAATTGGAGGAACATTGAATTCATTTAAAATTGCACCCTCTCATTGGAGATTTAATTTGGTACCAATGCCTAATTCCAAAAGTCAATGAATTTTAGCTTTAATTTGGTATTATAAATATAAGATAAAAATTACTAATTTCAACTTGCAATAAATCGTAGGCTATTGAAGATTAAATTTTTAGTACGAAAGCTGACAGTATTTGTGTAGATAGCTAGTTATAATTGATTTTTTAATAATTTAAATAAAAAGATAAATACAAATTAGTTAATAATTAATTGAAATAAATATTAATCATATATTTATTTGATAATTTATGTATCACCTTAATATGAAGTAATGAACAAAAATATATAAGGATCAGCCTGAATTCAGCTCAATTGACACTTCAAAACATTGATCAAAGCTCTGTCCAACCCATCGATTTAAGTTTATTATTATTCAAAATATTATTAAAAAATTAAAACTTATTTTTATATTAATATTTTTATATTGGACCAAACCGGCAAGCGTGACAGACAATCCAACTCATGGATAAATAAAAAACTGAATTTTAATTCTAATGGTTAAAATTCAAAGTTCAGAACATTAAGTAACAATATCCAATAAAATATGAAATTGGAAAAGAGTCCACGTGCATTTGACTATCTTAACACCAAGGGAAGTGGGCTGTTCCGAAATTACGGCTGCTGTTCCTGCAAAGCCTTGCCCAGCAAAGAACAATTTTCTTTCTTCTTTGTCTTTTGCCAACTAACAAAATTTTGTTCTCTCGAGCAAGAAAATTATTACATGACTGATGGGACGTTGTTTAGGGAATTCATGATCGAGCCGGAACTTGGGAAGTTACAATGTGGCGATGATGGCCATGTATGTGGCTCACGAAAGAACTGTTTCTGCTGATATTATCTTAAGTTTCCTGAAGTATGTTGCCTGCCATAGGAATGGTTGCTGAAGATTGCTCCTCACATAGATCAAACGAATGAAGGATTAGCAGTCAAGAGAAGAAGCCTCCGGGAATGACAATAAGGTCAAGACGCCTGTGGGAGAACCCTAATTAATGGCAACTTCTAACCATGATTTAGGTTTAAGAGATATCGATCTTATTATTTTATTAATTTGTATCATATTTGTATTCATCAGTAAATATCATCTACGATATCAGAAATTACATCAACGATAATAAATCAAATCTTATTATTGACCAAGATTGGGAGATGACAAGGAGGGAAATAATTAGTATCTTAATTAGCTATTTTTTTTAACTATTTTTGGAACTTGCGAAGTTCCCATTCTTCATTTTTTTTTATTGGGGTAGGCACCATAGTTAGCTGCTCCAACATCAAAACCAAACCTGATTAATTTGTCATCTACTTCTTAGGACTGTTGTCCTAACTTTTTCAACAGTCATCAGCCAAAACTTTGCACTTAAAATGTATAAAACAAAGGAAAATTATGCATAAAATTATGGATGGCAGCAGGCCAGTTTGGTTTGGTAGGTCAATTAGTTTGAAAGTTAATATCTTTCAATCAACGAGAATACGAGTTTCACTAGTGACTAAGTTAGGCAAACAGGTTTTCTAGTTTCTACATGGAATTCTTTTTCTCTGTTTGTTTCTAATTCTGGTCAAATTTTCTTTGGTTCCCCCAAAGGGGAAATTAAAGATTATGAGTCCCATATTTCCAATTTCATGGTTAATTTAGTTAAAGTAATCTTTGACACTTTGATCAATCTATTCATTAAATATTGATAACTTATGTATATATTATAATACTAGATTATTATGTGTCATTTATTAAATTTAATTGTATAGGTTAATTTAATTAAATTCATTTAAAGATCAAAATCCATTTATACAAATTCACTACATATGAAGGAGAGGTTATTTCTAATTAAAATTTTTCATTATGGATCGAAATTAAAATTATATCTTTATAATTTTGAGAAAATATTAAATTATCTTTATTTATCTAATTAAAATTGGAAAAACTTAAACTGATTCGTCCATTCTTTGTGTTTATCAGAGGGGTCCTTTGTAATAAGTCCTAAATTCCCCCTCTTTCACGGCGAAATACTTTCCTTCACCGTATCTAGAAAGGGCCAAAGGAAAGGAAACCTCTCTTAAATTTAACTCCCAAAGCAGCAAATTTAAGTATCACAGATCAGTTCTCACAATTTCTCTTATATTCTTTCCTTCAATCCAAACAAGAGAGGAAAGAAAGAAGAAATGAAGAGATTAAGAACTTATTACATGCAATTTCGTCACAACAATAATCAAGCAATGGAGCGTAAATGGATCTTCCCCTTAGCCGTCGGTTCCATTGTTTCCTTATTTTTACTCTTCTTAACAACCTTAAGCTCTTTTGATGGCTCCCCATTTCTTTTCTTCTCCCGTTCCTCCGTCGTAATCGGCAGTTCCTCCCCTTTCGTGGAGGACCAACTGAAACCCATTTCTATTTCCACACTCCCTCCACCTCCCCGCTTCGCCTACCTCATTTCAGGCTCTGCTGGCGATGGTCGGATGCTGAAAAGGACCCTTTTAGCCCTATACCATCCCTTGAATCAGTACGTAGTTCATCTTGACAGGGAAGCTAGCTCTGAAGAGAGGCTTGAACTGGAGAAGTTTGTGAAAGATCATCAAGTATTTGACAAAGTTGGGAATGTTAGGATGATTGTGAAAGCTAATTTGGTTACTTATAGAGGTCCTACTATGGTTGCTAATACGCTTCATGCTGCTGCAATTTTGTTGAAAGAAGGTGGAGACTGGGATTGGTTTATTAATCTTAGTGCTTCTGATTATCCCCTTGTTACTCAAGATGGTGAGTTGGATCTTACAAAAAAAATTGATTTTTTTCGCTATTTTTTTGGTTGAAAATCCATTTTTGGTCTTTGATTTTGGGTATTAAAAAAATGGCTTTTCGACAATTTTCCAGTAAAAATTGCCTATTTTTTCTTGGTTTTTGGAATTGGGTATTGGGAAAAAAAAAAAAACTTTTTCTTTGTGTTTATAGCTTTGTTTTTTTTGACATTTGGGTTTGGGGTTTTGGATATCTTTCAGATCTGTTGCACACATTTTCATACTTGCCAAGGGATCTGAATTTCATTGATCACACAAGCAATATTGGATGGAAAGAGTGAGTACTTCTTTGAAGCTTTTAAATTTTATTTATCCTCAGAGTATCCTTTCTTGGGTATCTTTTATTTTTGGAAACTGAGTATTGTTTGGGTTTTGTTGTTAATGGCAGGTTTCAGAGGGCTAAACCAATTATTATAGATCCAGGGTTGTATAGTATGAAAAAAGCTGATGTGTTTTGGGTTACTCAGAGGAGAAGCGTGCCTACTGCATTCAAACTCTTTACAGGTCAAGATGCTGAAAGCTTCAACTTTTTAAAGTGTTTTCTTAGCTACTAAATTTAGTTGTGGGAATTTTGGTGGTGTTGTTATTTGTCACTTTTAGATAGTTCTGTTTAGATAGACATTCTATTTAGTCTTTTTTCTATGCATCGGCTGAAACTGTTTCATTATGTGGGGATAGTTGTCAGTTATATATTGATCTCAGAGATTTGAATAATCCTTTCAGATAATATTTCACTGAATAAATTTGTTTATATTATTAGAATCGTAGAATTGAGGTTGAAACTGGAAATCTAGTTTTCACTTGGTGATTCTTTTGTGAGCAAATTAGAGGTTAAAAGTAAAGAATATACAAATCTGATTGTTATGTTTTCTCAATATGGGTTTCAAAGATCAACAGATTTAACTGAGCTAAGATTTGAATTGAAGTCAATTGGGTTGACGCTGGAGAACAATGGACTTTCCCGTTCATTCTCTCTTCTGCTTTCTGATTGTGTAAAAGCAGCTTATTGATGCAATTATTTAAAAGAAAAATTGATTATTTTGTTTTAATGCTTCTCATAGTATCACAAGATATTTTGGAGTTTCTGATCCAAAGGAAATGGACAAATATGTATAGTAGAATGGCATGTCTACACACACTGCTTCACTTGTAAGTGACTAGTTGCAGCATATAAATGTACACAGAATGCTTTGCTGCTGGGCACAATGGATATTGTTGGTGAGAAACATTAAAGAAAATTGGTGCAATAGGCAGAAATGTCTTGTTAGGATACTAAATTATTTTTACTTATATCTTTTCTTTGTTCCTCAATAGCCATGGAAACATGTTTGATCTGGTAGATTTTGACAACATCCTTGTGAATCTGTGGTGAAGTCCTTGGTTATCAGTCCACTCTCTCACTTCCCCTTAAAATGTGGAAATTAAAAGTTTCTTTTACAAGAAATGGGCATCTTCTGCATTTGCATATTCATTTAACATTGGTTTTACTGAAATTGCCAGAGTCTTTATCAAAACTTGGATGTGCTATAATGATATATTTGAAATCCCTCATTTTCCTGTGTTCACTTTTTCTAGGGAAAAAGTGAAAGTAGCTAGTTCATTCAAGTTTCCTTTGAAGTTCATCTTTGACTTTATGTATCCTTAGTATAGCCTATTATTTTTTAGTGTAGTTTATCTTTTACTTTTAAATTTAAATGTCATATTGGATGGTTAGTTGGTTGACACAAAATGCTAGCAGGTCCTTGAAGTTCTATCATCTCTTTAATGAGAACATAGAAGTCAGAACTGTTTCTTAGCATAAAATAAACTTCACATTAACTCTCAAATCTCAGGCTTCATAGGATAATGAATTTATTGACATATGGAATACTTCATTATAAGCAAGAACAGTGACTTTGTTAACCAAATATAGCCTTATTCTTGTTCCGTTTCATGTTGCTAGCACTAATGTGATCATTTATTTTTGGCTTCCAAGTTTAGGTGAAAAAGATTTTCTTTATCTGTTTCCTTAATTTCTTTTATTTTTAACCTTTCCTTTCATTATCTGATTCAAGTCATGTGATTCTGCATTGCTGTAATGCTAAATGCTATATCATTTGATTTCCTTTCCGTGTAGGAATTTTATATCAGAGTTCAAATAGAGGTTAAAGGCTCAAAATGGTTGTGTTCTTTGAAACTTTCTAAACAACAATTCAAGGCAAAACAGTATAGATTTGATGTTCCAATGAGCTGCAGGCTGAATGACTAAACCATGCATGTATCATGCATGTTATGTTATGTTTGTAACTTGTAGTTTCATTGAATTTTCATGATATTTATAACTGTGACTACTAATGCTTTTGCATAAGGTTCATGATTATGCATTGAATAATCTAATTTGTGATCAATCATTTGGTTATGCTGAGGCTCGTTGCGGTAGAGAAAATATATTATCATTTAGTGTCCTTAATGAGCAGAAACATTAGTATAATGCAGTATGCTTGTAAGCCTAAAAATTGGAACATTCTCATGAAGTAATTCATTACATCTTTAATTGACTGTTGTGTCATGTATGCTACTCTGATTGGAAAATTGTTAATTCATATTTTGCCAAATTGTTTTCTGAGCCAGTTTGCTGCAAGAGTCTATCAGACAGCCATAAATGTCCATTATTATCTGCATTAGGTATCTCTGACAAGTATCTCTTTCATGTAATAGGTTCTGCTTGGATGGCACTTACTCGCCCTTTTATCGATTATTGCATTTGGGGATGGGACAACCTACCTCGAATAGTCCTCATGTACTATGCTAACTTTTTATCCTCTCCAGAAGGTTACTTCCACACTGTCATTTGTAATGCTCAAGAGTTCCGTAACACTACAGTAAACAGTGATCTCCATTTTATATCATGGGATAACCCTCCTAAGCAGCATCCTCATCACCTAAGGCTTGCTGACATGCAATGGATGATTGACAGCAATGCACCTTTTGCAAGAAAGTTCCCTCGCGATGACCCAGTGCTTGACAAAATCGACTCTGAGCTCTTGTCTCGGGGTCCAGACATGATTACTCCTGGTGGTTGGTGTGTAGGAAGTTGGAAAAATGGGACTGATCCTTGTTCTGTTATTGGTAATACAACAGTCATCAGGCCTGGCCCCGGAGCGAAAAGGTTGGAAACTTTGATCAGCTTTCTTCTATCCAACGACAATTTTAGACCGCAGCAATGCAAATAGTACTAATGGAAACTTCCTAAGGGAGGCACTCATGACAAATGGGGTTGGTTTATAAATATATTGGAAGATGTAAACGATGCAATCCAGTATTCAGTGTTCCTTCTGGAAAGGGTTGAAAAGTATGATAGAAGAAGCATACATGATCTCTCTGGTATATATAGTACCATGATTAAGATGGAATAACTGATGGATATCAATTATAGAGCTGTGATCAGATATGGATTTACAATGCTGGAAATGGGGGCAACACTGAAATCTTGATTTTTTTTTTTTTTTTTGGTAGTGTTATGTAACCATCACAAATTGAAGGAAAGTTTAATTTTACTCCCATTTAAATTTAATATTATCTCATTTTAAATTTGACTTGTTGCTTGCTCATGCGTTGCCATGCATGGTTTTATTTCAAATTAAGTAAATTATAAACTATCCATCATTTATATAAAATAAATAATAATCCTGTTTGAATTTCAATGATAAAAAATTCATGTTTAATAATCTGGATTTTATTCTCGTGACAAATGCATACTCACTAGCTTAGCCGCCAATGAGTTGCATTCTCAACGGATCCAAAATTACATCAACATATAGTGCATTCCCACTAATCAAGCTTAACATCAATAAGAAATTCGTGGCAATCTTTGTTGCTGAATCACGTGAACCAACATGGAAAAACCTTCTGCTTTAATCACTTTTTTATCTCTGGTCTGTTTCTCTGCAAATTTTGCAAAATTCATGGCTTGATTTGGGGATGTTAAAACATATTTCCAGCTCCTTTGTTGGTATTGCAATGGACATTTTCCTAGATTGTTGTGGCGAAAATTTGGTACGTTAAAGTTCAACTGAAAACCTTAACAGACAAGAAAAGATACTAGGGAGGTCGGAAGTGACTTCAATGATAATCCTTAAACTATAAAGTCAAGAAAGAGTTACTTGAAAAATGGAGCATAGTATGCAAATAAATGAGCTTCTTCTCATAAATGGAGGGGGCTGAGCTGAGACAATGCAAAATCCTACATGTTTTAAGTTTGATTGAAGACATTTTATTTGGTCTAGGCCCAAATTGATTGGGCTCAAATCCATTTGAGCTAATTTATTCAAACTCAACCCATTTTATTTTATTTATCTACTTTTATTTTTTGGTTTTATCTTTTTTTATATGTTGATTATTCATTTATTTGTTATTAATTTTTTATTGATTTATCTTTTTTTTTTATTATTATCACAATTAGGTGTTAGACAATAATAAGAAAATAACAATGATGATAAAAAAGGGGTAAGAGATAATTCTTAAGAAATTAAAAAATTTTAAAAAAAAAAGGAAAACGGGATAATGAAAATTAAAGATGATCCGTGACCTAAATTGGGAGAATAATTCTTTTATGGGAAAAAGCCTAATTTTTTGTGGATTTTCTTTGAAGAATTTAGTCTTTATCATAACACTAATTGAATTGGGAAACTGTTCTTTAAATAGGCATTTAAATCATAATAAAAGGACATGAAAAAAATTAGAGTAAGCAATAATAGAGAGAGAAGTGGTAGCAACCAGAGCAATTAATTTTTTTTTTCAAAAAAAAAATAGTGTTTTTGGCAAAAAGTAGAGGAGCAATTAAATTCTTTAAAATCATTTTCAGTGTCAAGCTCATCAATATTAATTAAATTTTTAAAATTAAATTTTTTATTGTTATCATGATGTGATTAATTATATGTTAAATTATTTTTATATTTATGCACAAATTTAGAAGAAACATTCAAAGCTTAATGATTTTGAGACTTTATTTTTTATTTTCAAAATGATTTTTGTTAGAGTCAAACCTTAAAATATGAAATTTTGTTTTAGCAAGTTTTTTATTGTAAAATGAATTTGAATATCTTAAATTTAATGATTTAAACTTGTTCAAACAAAGATAACTTGATAACTTGTAATGGTTTAAAATTTTCATAAATACTACATGCAAGTTTTAAAGGATCATTTTCTTTAATAAGTTAATTTTACTTGAATTTTGAGGAAATGTATAAATTGATTTAAAAAAATAAAATATATAATTTGCATACTAAATTTTTAAGTAATATATAATTCGTACTCAAATTTTCATACTATGTATCATATTAACTCAAATTTTAATCAAATTAATTGTATCAGTGGCACTATTTATTTTTTCAATTAGATTGGATTACTTATAATGGGCCAACCCTTTCTTAAAAAAAAAAAATGACCCTACCTTTTGCTACCATCATATTTGTTTTTCAAATCTTTTAACTAAATATTATTATGGTCATAAAAATACAATTGTCAATTTCTAAAATTTTAAGGGATACTTTTTATATATAGTTTATAGATATATAAAAATGTACTTTACATTCATAGTGGTTTTACACATGATAATTTTTTTTAAATTTAAATTATTACCTTTTTTTTTTGTTTCTTTATTTGATCTGAACTTAGATTTCATTTCTTTTGTAGTGTTTTTTTTTTTTTTTTGAAAATGGGTGTTTTTGTTTTGTTTTTCTTTGGGGTGTTAAAGTTTGTACTTTATTTTGTACTTGGTATTGAAATAAATGTAAAACCAACATTTACAAAATACAAAATTTTGATTTTTTTTCTCGGTGCTTTAATGTATCAATTCTTCTACTAGAACTTAATTCGAATTCTTTGTTGTTATTTCTAAAGCTAACTTAAATAAGGAGTTTACCAGTGAGTTTTTAGATATTAGTATCTTTTTTACCTCGGCCTTCTCAAAATCGATCACAAAAGCTAGTGCTTTATTTAGATATTTTTGAATTTTTTTTCTTGAGCTTCAAACTCCCTATTTATCTGATTGAGTACTAATTAGAAGTCACTATATATGGTTATATATTGAACATTCTTTATTGTCTTAGTTCAGCTTAAGTTCATTCAATTTTCTTGTTTCAATTTCGATAGTTTCCAAATTTAAATTATGTTTTTGGTTTTGCTTGTTCATGCTTTATTTTGTGTTTTGGTACTATAATTTTGTTTTGCAATTTACAACTTATTTGGATCAATTTCTAATAAGTTTCTAAATATTTCTTCTATTAGATGTCGTAAAGTAGTTAAATTCAGTTACTAGTTAGTTGTTTCAGTTTGTGCCTTTATGCTGCTGTTTTGATTATTAGGTGGTGGTTGGACTTGTACAGCCATATCTCTCCATCTATATACATATTTCTTGAAGGTTTCAGCAGTCATTTTCTCCATATTTTGCAACGGCAACCAATCTTATTCCATATCTTCAACATCTTAATCGTGCTAGTTAAACTAGACTTAAATATCATCTGGGTGCTAGTTGATCTGGGCTTAGGTACCAATTAATTTGGGCTTAGATGCCAGCTAATTTAGACTTAAAGTGCTAACTAATTTGGGTTAAGGTGCCAACTAATTTAGGCTTAGGTACAAGTTAATCTAGGCTTAAAGTGTCAACTAATATGGGCTTGAATGCCAATTGATCCTTCCCTATACTCCTGAACTTTATTTTGATTAGTAGATCAGAACCTATTTTTTAAGGACATTTAGTTAAACTTAGGAGTTTCTTAAAAGAATAAATGCATTCGGTGATCAATCACACCTAAATAAAAAATTAGTAGCGATTCCTTAAGTTGTGTCTAGATATAAGTTTACGAATCTATATATTATGACATTGATAATATTAATTACTCATTTATCCATATGGTAATATCATACTCGAATTCGAGTCTGATCCAAATTAAAAATGATCAACAATATTTTGAACTCATTTAATTCAATCTTAAAAATTTCGAATTCAATTAACTTAAAAGACCAACTCAAAAGGAATAAAATTTAATAATTTATAATCGAAATTATCTGGATTCAAAATGACCAAAATTTTACTCGATTTGAAATAATCTCACTCAAAATGACTCAATCTAAACTACTGAATCGTTATCTCTACTTACAGGATAATATAAGCAATTAGAAAAGTAGTAATTAACTTTACAAAATTTTTCATCATTAAAATAAGAAAGAAGCGCTTACCTTTGATCAACATGAGAAAATGAATTTGAAGTAATTTAAGCATAATATACTTACCTTTGGAAGAAATTGAAAGGGGCTTCAGTCGAAGAGAGATGAAGCTTGCTACTTAAATTGAACATGCATGGCTCTTTGATAGCAGTAAGCGCCATCTCTCCTGCGACGGTAGTCCCTCTACATCTCTCTTGCTGTAATTCTTGGCCTAATTTCCTGCTCCATATCTTCTTCAGCTTCTTCAATTATATATATTTCCCAGTTTCTTTATCCATCTAGGAGGAATATTTATGTGAATAGAAGCTATTGAATGAATGATTCTAGGTTTTTGGATTCTCATTTTTGACAGTTTGTTATTTTGTCCTATGTTTTTGTTCAATTGCTTTAGGAATTCAGCAAAACATCCTAGTTTATGGCCACAGGGAAAGGGGAAGTAAAAGAAATGGCTGAGGACAGATTCCAATAAACTAAAAGCCTGCAAATCTAGGACAAGTGATTATCTGTAATGATTTGTTTGTTATTGTCAACCAAATACAGCTAGACAGAACAATGATTTCAGTAATCTAATCAGTTGAACTATGGATGATGATCAATTAGTTGTAATGTTGTGCACAAGCCTAGTAGGTGAAGCATCAATTTATGTAATCTCTCTTTGATATCATATCCAATAAATAATTTACCAACTGACACGGATTTGTTAATAAAATGCTTAATATTTAATTTAACGATTAGGATTCGAATATTAATAATTTTAAATACTGAAAAGGTAAATAACTTGAAAATTAGATATGCTGATAATCCATGTACCATAGCAAAATAGAAAATTAGAATCTTATATCCTACAATAAATCAAATTCCAGAACAAAACCCACTATCCCCTAGAGAATATGCATGCAATTGAATGATGAAGAGAATGATGAGGAATAATTGGAACTTCCCAGAGGTGGCCGCCGGCGGGCCCTTGCAGCGGTACTCTTCAGTCTTCCACACCAAAGCAGCCGGCATCTCCTCTAACTAGAGAGTCAGTTCCTCTCATTTTCTCTGCTTATGCTTGTGCACAACTATAGGATCCAAAGGAGTCACTGCACTTATATTATATGCTGTGGTATCTGTTTCTTTCTTATCCTGAAAAGTTGGTTCCCCAGATGAAGCAAAATTTTACCACAAAATATATTTGCATGTTGAACGAAGTTTGAATGGCTGCTTTTAAATTATGAACATGTAATTCAATTTTTCTACTTAAGATTAAATTAATTTGCAAGTGGTTGATTAAACAGAACACTTCTACTATAACTACTTAATTAGGTGGATAAGGATTCGTGTGGGATGTTTGGGGTGCCAG